TAGAAAAATCACTGGAGGAAATGAGGTTTTGGACACACACTTTGACCCTAATGATCCATGTGATTGTCAAGTGTAGTTTGGACTTATTGTTAGTCCAAACTAGACTACTAAATCAATTACATGTACTTACTTAGACTAAAGACTCAACAATTGATTCAATGGTTCTCCTCTTGTTTGGAGGAGGAACCACTATTTTGCCACACTACAGGAAAGGAGAAAAACACACCCAAGCATTGTGCAAATCGTTAGATGTCATTTGAATCTTAAGGGGGGGGGGGGGGAGACAGGAGTAGCTAGAAAGACAAAGACAGCCAAAAGTGGGAAGTAGAAGAAAAAATATTACCTCCACCTGATCTACTTGCCTGAATGTTTGCCTATTTATTTGTATGTAAATTGCACTGCGTCCCTATGGAGATAGAGGGCAGTCTAGAAATAAAGATTATTATTATTATTATTATTATTATTATTATTATTATTATTATTATTATTATTTGATACATAACAAGATTAGTACCTAACAAACTAGATCACTATGCTGGCTTTTGTATTTGATCACACGTCAGACACTTCCCAAGTGTCTAGGACTGTGGATGTATCAGCAAATAATGTGTGCACATCTGAGTAGGGTGGCCTTTTGCAGCTGACAGGTGGTAATTTTGTCAGCGCTGACTGTTTTTCAGTGCTGACCAAGGTCTTTAGACAATGTACCCAGTGTGCCAATCACCACTGGGACCACCTTGACTGGGTTGTGCCTGAGTCTTTGCAGTTCTATCTTTAAAGTGCAAGCTTTTCTAGTTGCTTCTTGTCGATCCTGCTGTCACCAGGGATTGCAGGATTATTATTGTTGTTGTTGTTATTATTATTATTACTACTATTATTAATACCATCTGGAAGAGCTTTTGTTAACTTTAAAAAAATTAAAATGAGGCACTAGTAAAGAGCTACAAATATATCTATTGATAAAATAGCATTTTGCATAATAACAGTTGCTGTAAGCCTTTTCCTTTGATCAGCATTGCTTAAAAACGCCCTTATAAAACACTATGATTGGTTTTGCAAAATAAATATCATCTCTCTGGCTTCTTTCCTGGTGGTGCGGTTTCACAATATATATTCATCATTGTTTGCTTAAACCTGTCCAGAAAGCACACTGTACTTCCACCTTACCTTTTTTGCAAGGCTGCTAAGGGAATCCAAATAGCACAAGCTGTGCAGTTTTATAGCAGAGCTTTGTGTGGGTGTCTCTGTTAACAGCCAAGGAGACGGCTTGCATCACAGATGTGGGGCAGGGACAAATAGCTTAATATAGGAACAAATGCTCCATGTTTCAGTGGTTTGTTGGATAATAGCTCTGCTGCTCCGATCAGCTGTATATATCATGTGTGTGTGTGTGTGTGTGTGTGTGCGCGCGCAAAAGCATATTAATAGAATTCTATCTCAACAGATTTAATTCTTAAATGCTACACATACTTGTTTAATCTCTCATTTTAAAAGTAGGAAAGGTTAGATTATAACATCAGTTTAGCTCTCTTTGAAGCAGGTAATAATTAAGTTGATTCACTGTTGCAATTACTGTCAAATCCCCCTTAATTACCAGAGATTTTATAGCAGCTTCATTATACGTCCGCTGTAATGCATTGTGGCCCTAAGGAGAAGGGGTTGCAGGAAATTCTGCATAGCATGTATAATTCTGAGCTGCAGTTAAAACTTCCCCAGGAAAGCACCAGCACTAAATTTATCTTTTCTATTTTTTTAAAATATTCCCATTATTTCAAGTAGTTTAACTGAAGTAACAACACTCAAATGTCTATCTGTGTATGTGAGAACTAATCATTTCACAGATATTAGAAATAAAATGGAGGGTGTCAAACAAGGACTGGAATATTTTTGGTATTTAATCACCTCATCAAAAAAGGAACAACACCAATTCTAAATGTGAAAGTCGGTGAACAATGTTTTTACTCACAGCCATAGCACATGTGTTTTCCCTCTATCCTAACAATTTACTCTTGCACACTAAGTTTGGTTAGCATCACGCTTAAATGTTGTCCTTCCCCCTCCTCCCAATATTAATGCATTGCATTTTACATACCTAGATAGGAATTATTTTTAAAATTCCATATTGTCTCATGACTTTTGGGATATATGAAGAACAGAAATGTGCCATGAAATGTTGAGAGTATTAGTTTGGAGGGTGATAAACTAGAGATAGGAGGCAGGTAACTAATCAGCTCATGGCCAAATTGTTTGTATTATAAATGAATGGGTAACTATAGTGGGGTCCCATTCACATTATGCAATAATAGTGCTTTTACTCTATATTAATTCCCATGGTTCCTTGGAATCGAGGTTTGGGGGGGGGGCAGGGGTGAATTTAGAATTGTCAGCCAGAAAGCAGTGGTTCTCAACCTGGGGTCCCCAGATGTTTTTGGCCTTCAACTCCCAGAAATCCTAACTGCTGGTAAACTGGCTGGGATTTCTGGGAGTTGTAGGCCAAAAACATCTGGGGACCCCAGGTTGAGAATCACTGCTCTTAATACAACAACAAATGCCAAGAGTCCATAGAATGGCAGTTAAAGTGGAATAACAGTACTATAAGTGTGCAGTGTAGATGGACAGTAGTTCTGAGTTAGTAACTTTCCTCTCCCTGGGACTCTCTGGACACACATACCATACCAGCTCCAAACTTTGGAATGGAGGTTGGCAGAAATCACATGCATTTTCTAATTTTAAAAAGTGTATATGGGAGGCATGAACCTTGTTGCTTTGTATGTGGTCCATTCCAACTCATAGCAGAGAAGTACCTGGCTGTGGGAATTCAGACTACAGATACAGATTGTTAGAAAAATATTTTCTCGTTAAGGAAACCTCATCCTGAAATATTTTAGGAAGAATGGTGAAAAGATCTCTTCTTAAAAAGTAATATTTTGGTGAGATATCTGGTTTTAAAAAAACAAATCCATATTTTCGGGATTGCTAGTGGCCATTTATGAATTGGAAGGAAAAAACAGGGCAAGAGGGTATAGATTTACATAAAGTTTCCATATGCTGATATGGCATGTAGATGTAAGTGTAAGGATTTGTTATTAACATTTAAACAGAACATATTGCACCCTACTGGGGTAGGCTCTCTGGGGGTCCCACGTAGACTACACAGTTATAGAACTATTATTCCACTTAAACTGCCATGGCTAAATTCTATGGAATTGTGGGATTTGTGGTTTGGTGAGGCCTTAGAGTTCTCTGCCTGAGGAGTATAACTATCCCTCCCTAGGGTACAAAACTCAGGATTTTATAGGATAGTGCCATGGCAGTTAAAGTACAATGTACCTTTGGTCATAAAAATGATCCTCTTCAGGAGTATGAAAAAAGCTTGTGTGTATACCTATTTATTCCACCAACTCTCAAGCAATACTCTTGTTGTATATCTATATTATCATTATTTTTAAAAAAATTATATCCCACACTCTAGTATCTAAACGTCTCAAGGCAGCACATGATAAAACTAAAGCACTACATTTGTGTAGTGTGAATGGATCCTTCATAACTTGTGTCCAGGTGATCACTGTTGCTAAGAAATCTAAAAATTCCTCCTTCCTCTCCTCAAACTTAAAAAATGATTTTCAAAGATGGAATACCATCAGGCAGAAGATGCTTTGTCTTGTATGAGGTAGGATCCATGGCCACCATGCAGTTCCCTCATCCCACTGTGCAGAATCTCCTTGTTGTGTTGTGTGTTATAGTACTTAAAGGTTCAGGCAATCTGGCTGCAACCCCAAATTCACATTTCTTCAAATGCCTGATCTGTCTAAGATAACTCATGCCCTGGGATGGGTTAACCTTTAAGCAAAATAAGCATGTGCCTAGGGCATCAAGGGAAGGGGGCATCACAGATCTTGCTGGATTTACCATGGACCATATCATGCAAAACTGCAAATGGTGCAACTGAACCAGGTTACACAAAGGGCTCTCATAATACAAAGTTTGTAATTAGAAAAAGAGAAAACTTATTAAATGAAAATCAAAGTTTTGTTTTATGATTCATTATTGTCTTTATTCTGAATTACACTTAACTGCAAGCACCAAAATCTTTAAAGTGCTTAGGACCTCTAAAACTCTTAATCTGACTCTGTCATGCCCAGGTTACATCCTACAGTGGGCCCTTGTTATCCACTGGGATTCAGTTTCAGAACCTCTATGAATACCAAAATCCATGGATGCTCCTGTCCTGTTATATACAATGTTATAGCAAAATGGTGTCCCTTATATAAAAGGTGAAAATCAAGATTTGCTTTTGGGATTGTTTCTTTGAACATTTTCACACTGTGTTCCTGAGTCTTTGGGTACAGAGGTAAACTGCACGTGGATTACTGTAATGCACATTATGTGGAGCTCCCTTTGAAAAGCTTCCCCAGAACTTTAGTTTGTTTAAAGAGCCAGTGCCGTATTACCAATTGGAGCAGATTATACAGAGCACATTACTATTTTGTTCACATAAGTCCACTGGATATCAGCCCATTTCTGGAACAAATGTTAAATGGAGGGTGAAGAAGAATCTGAGAGCTTTAGTGGTCTTCAGGGACCACACTTTGGGATCTCAAGGGCTTCAAATATCCCATGGTTCATACTTTGCCCATCCCTGACCCAACTCTTAACTCCACAGCTGGGGCCAACTGTCCAACAATGCAATTTTCTCTCTTTCCAACCTTTCAGAGTGGTTTATGAAGACATACCTAAGGTGGGGGAAATCATCTCCTCATAATTCCACTGATAGAAGCAGGAAACACCCCTGATGGATCCTGATTATGTATTTGCAAGCTAGCTTTCCTATCAGTTTCTGCAAAGCAAAAACATCTGACCCACCCAAACAACTTTTTACAGTTCCCATCACATTACAGAAAATTTCCACCGAGGGAGGAAAAAAAAACACTTTCCAAATCAGATCCAGTAAAGTGAGCTTGCAAAAGTTCAAAACACTGGTGAGTGAATAATGTCTCCTCTTGTAAGGAAGGAATTTATTTCACAGCATACAATTAGATCTCGAAAGGGCTTGAGTGTCACAGACACCCTTGGCAGCTGTGTTAACAGTAGAGGAGCTAGCTTTGTATAGCTGTACAGTTATTAAATTTCTCCAGAGACCATGACTCATTAATCAAATATTCATGCATCTCTGTATATATAGGCTAAACAGAGAACAGCCTCTGAGTGGAGCATCCCAACACAAGTAGCCTTTCATGTAGGGTTGACAAAAATCCTTAGAACAAGGGGTCATGTTGTACATTCCTGATGCTTTATGTGACCCTATCCCTAAAAACAGAACACAAGTGATCTTAGTAAAAGAAAGTGCCATAGAGTTACAATTAAAATTACTTTACTATTGCTTCATCCCTCTTTCTTTTCCAAAAAAGAAAAGGGGGAGATAGAATCAAAGCCTACTGTTCTTTGTTTACCATCATACAAGTAACTTTCTCCCCAGAATGGAATGGAGAAAATTAGGGCCATGCACCCATTAATCCAAGAATTTGCATTAGTATGAGCAAATAACATTTTGCTGTTTAAATTATTACATCTAGAGAACTCTGTGTGCCTGCAGAGGGATTATTGTTTGTAATTCTTTGCCTTGAAAACAGGCCATCTACTGATGAAATTCAAGACTTGCTTGGCCAACTCGCTGGAGTGGGTACAGAAGTAAAATGAAATACTCAGATTAGTTCAAAGTTATGCAAGTGAGGCAATAAAATCCAGCCTATACCTACCACCTTTGGACTATAGTTTGGCTTTCATATGGACTAAACCATTTGCCTAAGGTAAAAAAAAATTATGGGATCTACTTCACTCAGATTCAGGGTGCATCTCCTCTGTAGATGGAATTTGACATCACTTTAACTGCCGTAGCTTAATGCTATGGAATCATAAGAGCTGTTGATTTACAAGATATTTAGCCTCCTATGCCAAAGTGCTGGTGCCTCATGAAATACAAATCCCAGGATTTCATAGAATTGAGCCATGGCAGTTAGAGTATCATCAAACTGCATTCATTCAATGAGCACATACCAAGAACCTAAATGAGCACATACCAAGAACCCTAAACGGTTCCGGCCCAAAATACCTGTCTGACCGCATCTCGGCCTATGAGCCCACGAGGACTTTGAGATCGTCTGGGGAGGCCCTTCTCTCGATCCCGCCTGCCTCACAGGCACGCCTGGCGGGGACGAGGGATAGGGCCTTCTCGGTGGTGGCCCCCCGGCTGTGGAACACCCTCCCTGTAGACATCAGACAGGCGCCCTCCCTTATGACATTCCGCAAGAGACTAAAGACGTGGTTGTTTGAGAAGGCGTTTGACTAAGTGCTACAACAATTGGCAATGACGATTGGAACGGAACATGGATAACGAGATTGGATTGTGATTCTATGATGAGACGTCGCGAATGATTTAGTGTAATTGGATTATTGATAGTGATGTTGTTATTGTTGTTTATGATATTGCCTATATTGTAATTTGTTTTTATATGTTGTACACCGCCGTGAGTCGCCCTAGGGCTGAGAACGGCAGTCTACAAGTGCAGTAAATAAATAAAAAAATAAAAAAATAAATAAACCTGTTGTTCTTTTATATGATTGTACTTTATATATGCTGTAAACCGACCTGAGTCCCTCATCGAGGTTGAGAAGGCCGGTATAGAAAACTTCTAAATAAATAAATAAATAAATCTCATTTAAACGCAGGAATGTCCTCACAACAGCCCTGAATTGCTATGCCAGAAAGAAGCTGGGGTCTCAACTGCTTGAATAAATCTTTTGAAATTTACCTGTAGAATTGTTCTTTTGCAAAAGTTTGTCCTGCAGTAGGAAATCCAGGCTTTAGATGTGTACACTTGACCTACATATATTAGTTGTTCCTTGTAACCTAAAATCCAGTGTTAAAATATTGGATTTATTGACCTCTCTAATTCCAGTTTTTGTGAACTGGTCAGCAGAATGAAGGTTAAGAACATTGGAAGATGATGAGGAGAGTAGCAGACTTACTTAGCACTTTGCAATAAATCTCCAAAGAGGTCTTCAAAACTTGCACCCATTGCGCTGTGCAGAGAAGTCACTTTACATCACTGTTGGAAGAACACAGGTTCTACTATTAGAAAAGTGAAGGACCTGCCTGACATGACAAGTGGAGGCATGGGACTATGTTATTAGATAAGTTTAACTTGCGTTTCAAATGCTTTAATTCTTTTCCTGCCAGCTTTCTTCACTGCCTAGCTTTCACACCTTTGCACAGAAACTTACAATATTATGGTCTGGATTATTCTGACTGCTATTTAATGATATGTCTTTACTCTTGGTGATTTTATCTAGTTATTATATGGCTAGATTAGTTATTATTACATACAGATCCAATAAACCATTTCCACACACCAGGTATGTTCTAAATTCTCTGTACGGTCAACAGATGGGACATAGACTAACACTTTGGTTTCAAGAAATTGGGTTACAGCCACCAATACACTGGTTCATCATTCAAGGCATTGTATGGGACTAGATATTTCATTAGATGCATCAAAAGAGTGCACTTCCATATTAAAGTTCATGACTTAGAAAAATAGAAGGCTAGGCATACCTGACAAGATTGTGTAAGTTATATCAGAGATTTTGAGACTCTGCCCTTTGCAGATATTCATAGAAGGGAGCTTGTTCTGTACAGAAAATACAGGTAAAATACAGACTGGGGGGTGGGTGGGTGGACAGAATCCTAGAAAGCACCATTAGTGAACCAGCCCTTTCATATAATGGGAATTGCAGTATCTGGAGGGCAACAAATATCTAAAAACCTGCTTCTCTTTCTCTTTTGAGAGAAGGCAAGTATGATAAAATTAAAGCTGGGGTGGAGGTCTAACACCACAAGAAAATTATTTATATAAACGTTTGTGAGAAACTCAAACAATCCCACTACAAAGATAATTGATGAAGCTCCCACCAGACACTTTAGCTACAATGGCCATGGATCTCAATATCATTCTAGCCATTTCAATCTCATCTGTCTTAAAGCATATTTGTTCAACATACCATGTTACAAAAACTAAAACCAGGTGTTGATGTGCAAAGATGCCTTTAAGGAAACAGGGCTACTGCTGGGTGCATGATAACCAGTGCTATGATCGCTTGTGCTCAAAAGCAGCAGCAGCAACAACAGTAATGACATGAATTAATTGCAGAGATTTAAGGGAGATAATGCAGGAGAGGTAACAAGAATCATCTTGCAATTACCATGGTTTCAAATTAAAGTCCCCTGTAGTTACTAAAAAGCATTAATTTCTAGGAACTTAGTAACTTAACATTTCACCACTGTAATGCAGACCTTTAGGGTTAAGGACACTTTTGAAATATGTTAGAAGTAATGGCTGCCTATAATTTCAGAACAGAGTTTAAGATTCTGCTGCTGACACATAAACCTGGAGTAACCTGGGATTGTGCCAAGAGAACAACTTTCTGTACGGACCAACCAATTCACTAAGGTTATCAGAGACCCTTTAAGTCACATCACATCTGTCAGAGATTATATTTAGGGTAACTCAAGGGAGAACAGTTTTTTGCAGCGGCCACAATATTGTGGAATGTCTTTCTATTAGAGACACCTATAGTTGAGACATTTCATCCATTAGTAATTAAATATTCAGGTAAACAATTGTCATATGCCAATTTTAAAAATATCGGTTAGAATAACTTGTGTGTACAAAGCATTTTGGCATAGTGTGAGGCTAAGGTAAGAATTTTATGTCTGCATAGTAATGCACTGTAGAGATTCTTGGTCAAGTAAAAACACAAGTTATTTTAAAGCATGCCCCCTCCTTACTGTCCTTACACCAAAAAATTGAAAACTTTTTAATTCTCAAAAGCTTTTAGGAACTGAAATGTTCCAGTCATATTCTTTTTTAAAAAAACATGAATGACCAAACAGATGTAGCTGGAAATCCTAAACACAATTCACAAGGAAGTCCGTTTCTCAAAAGAGAACCAACATGGTGTAATGGTTTGAGTGCGATGCTGGATTCCAGGGTTTGAATTTCTGCTCAGCCACGGAAACCTATTCAGGGGTCTGAGAGGAAGGAAAGGGTAAGCATCCTTTGAATAAATCCTATCAAGAAAACCCTGTGATGGGTTTGCTCTAGGGCCACCATAAGTAAGAAATGACTTGAAGGTCTCAATAATAAAGCCCCAAAGGCCACAACGGGCCTTTCTTTCCCATTAGTAAACATAGGCTTGCCTGCATAATTTCCAAAATGTCTTTAATAATACCATTCTATAAGTATCCAATCCTTTGCAGACAATTCATATCCAACACGTGAAAGTCTAACTGAAATTTGAGTGCTGGGCAGCAATTGGGGCTGGGTCATATTTTTAGCTCCTGATCCCCAGATTAACCAAATGTGTGTTCATACAAATTCCTGATCAGGGTTTCTATTCATTTTAGAGGGTAGTTATTTATTCAGTTACATAACTGCAATAGAATGTTACGGCTGAATCAACACAACAACCAGATTATTTACATATCTTGTCTTCTGTGTAATACAATGAAACATTCCCTGTTACAAAAAATAGACTTCAAAAACGTAAAAAAGTGGGGACTCACTATCAATGGACATTTGACAATATGCTAAACTAAAATTATGCCTGATGTTGACATCAGTATGTTAAGAAATTTGCATCTCTACATGCACAGTAGGTAGAAATACCACAACACCAGATCATTCCTATGCTTAGTTGCTGCGGTCTCCTTATTTCAGTTATAGGCTTTGATTGAAATGCCAGAGTGTTAATATTATAGGCACTGAAATTATATTTGCAGAAAGGAAACAAAACACAGCTCCCACCTAATAATTGTTTTTTCTTCTCCTATGATTGGTTGTGATCTAATATTAGTAACATATCCTTTAAATCAGCATGGAAAACCAATACTGTATTACCTCTTCCTATTAAAGTTGAACTACAATCTTAATGAGTAGTCATTATAAGATCATATTACTAAGCAGCACCTTAACTCACTGCTCTGCTTACATAATTGCATCAGTATTACCATTAAAAAGCTGAGATACATCCAAGCAAGACGTGCTGCAAGAATGGCACTTCATAACCATATTATCAAACATTATTGGGGTTCAGGTAGAGTAACACTAATATTTTTATTGTCTGGCTCTTGATCCACATTAAGTTTAGCTTAAAAATAAAGTGGCATCCTAAATACTTGTTCTTAAAATGATTTAATCCAAATTGCAAATTCACCACATAGGCTAGTTCCCTTAAGTGGGCTGAAAAACAACCAGCCAAAGGCTGGTTGTTTTTATATTACAGTGTACAAAGAAGAGTGGTGCTACAATTACTCTGAATGTAGTATCACCAACATTATGCAAGAAAAACTGGACCTAAACAAAAAGTTAATTAACAGATAAATGAATCAGTCCATTGTCAGGAATCGATCTGAATACAGAATGGTTAGCGACTGCAGAATATTACATAAAACACCTGAGAGATCAAGCCTGGCACAACAACCTTCTTCCATTCCTGGATGGTGATCTCTTATTTCACAAAGACAACATTTTATTATGTAAATCTACAGTTAAAAATAATTTAGACATTTACAAAAGATTGTTTTTAAAATAAAACTTTTACTGCAAAAATTAAAAATGTAAGAACACATGCCACTTGCCCATATATTTTTGTTCTCTTAGGTTTCTGTCAATATCACTGCTGAAGCAGATGAAGTTGCTGTTGGATCTCTCAGACCCTTTCAGAAAGTGAATATGCAAAGGTAAACCTAATCACCATCATCAATTGGTCTCCATCGTCAATCTAGTGAAGATCTGCAAGAGCATTCACTGGACTTGATTATCTTATCAAATCTTCTAAAAGTTCTCTACTACTTACTGTGTAGTCCATCTTTGGGACTGTTTGCTACAGATTTTTTTTCAGCACCAGGTGAAAAACTTGGTCTTCTCAAGCCTTGCTGACTGTAATTCTACTTTTAATAATTATATCACTTAGTTTTTTAACGTAAACTTTGTTTTAATTCCTATTATGATGCTTCTAATCTACACTATTAACTGTTTCAGAAACCTCTTGGCTGAATAAGTGAATCTATAAACATTGATGTTATATATTGTGCCGCTTGATACATATGTTGGAATAGGGTAGAAGGTGAATTTCTTTTTGACCACTCAATCTTTGTTCCTTTCCACTAGGGAAGTCCAGGCTGGCAAATCTCAGATTTTATGCTACCTACTGATAGATGTTATGGTGGACATCACTTTGGAAGATTTGACCTTCGAAGTATTTGGAGTGCTTATGCAAAGCAAAGTGTTCTGGGTAGTAGCACCTGCATTATGGAACTATATCCCAAAGAGTGGGATTATTTGCTCCTCATGCTATAAAAATATAGTTGAGAAAACAAGACAAATTGTGGTTATTCTGTTGCTTGGCTGCTACCAGTTCTATAGATTTCTGGTTTTTTGTTCTTGTTCTATTTTTGTTCGTGTTTTTTTCTATTAACTTTAATCTTGTTGTTAAACTATGTTAAAAATCCCAAAAGGTAGAAAGTAGGGGCATAAAACATATTAAAGGAATAAATAAAAAAGTCTTCACAACAAAACAAAGTCCTCAGTACTAAAACGTTTCAACTTTTTGTTTTCACCCTCAGAGAACAGGGCTTTCTCTTCCTGGACCGGGCTCATCTTAAAGTCATAGTCTTTAGAATGTCCATTTACAAAAGTAAATAAGGGGTATTTCTCCTTAGATGAAGCTTTCAGAATCTATAGTGAAACACAATATTAAAAGGAAAACATTGGTTAGGAGACTAATCTTGAATTGTTCATGCTTGTCAACTTTAAATTTTAAGAAAATATTGCACATTAGACAAAAATCATACCATTCCATCCCCTTTTTGTGTTTCTGGCATACCTGTCAGTAGCACATCTCATACATCTCCACAGCAGATAAGTGTGAATGGTAGACCTGCGCTTAGAACATCCACATGTTTGCACAGCAGAAATGCATAAGTCACCATTTGAGACGTTACACCATAAGCCCAACAGAAAGATCAACAAATCACTCATATGTCCCGTCAGCTTTTTCTCAGAACATCTTGACTGAAGCAAGTTCTTGGCCAAGGTGAAATCTGAATCAGGGATTTTCTGGCTTAGAGCATATTTATACCACATCAGCTCTTTGGCTTGTTTCAATTTTAATCAACTAAATTACATACACAATTACAGCACGATATTATAAAGCAACATTAGCCTACAGATAGGCTACATGAAGACTAGTTAAATAAAAACAAAGATTAGGTCTTAGAAAATTATGTTTGCAGCAAAATCAGAACAATGATTTCCAATGGGTTTGGTATTTCCATAATTTATTATAACCAATGTGAACCCATTTTAATCAAAAGCCAGTCTTTGGTAGTGTTGTGAAAGGGGGAAAAAAGGAAAGCTGAGGCACAATCAATGGTATGCAGAGAAGAGGCAGAAAAAAAGGATTATTTGGTAAGAGAAAATTTTAGGAAGGTGACATAGGGCAATAGGTCTCAAGGGATGGGATAATTGGATGCAGCTTTTTATCATTTGACTACAGGATCAATGTACCCAGATCAGTGACAGAAGTTCATGGCACTTTGATGGCTGTTTGGTAGCCTGTGAAATTAGCTGGGCCTCCTAATTGACAGGTGTCTTATAACATCACAGCCATGATCACCAAGACAAAGTGACTCATTCACTTCCTCAGCATTTAATGCATTTTACCCATATTATACACACACATACATATGCACACGTGACTCTCAAAGGCAATGTATCTTATTCCCGTGCTTTCAAAAAATGCTGCATGTGAATCAAGGGCACAAGGCTTCCACTTATGAGAATTAAAAACTCCATCCTCTAATTCAAAGCAAGACAAGTGTAGTTCTCCAGATATTGTTGGACTGTGACTCTCAGCATCTTTCACCTTTGATTGCCTAACCCTGTTCTAAGTGGGAGGCATTAAGGGAATTTAGGATAATGTTGGGAGATAAACCTCTTGTCACAAAATGATTCTTTGGGGCATCAATTAAACCAATTTTTTATTGTTCCTACATGTAAGATGGTAGAGGTTGAGCATGTCTAATTCAAAATACTTGAGAAAAGTAGTATTTGGATTTTCCCCCAGATTTTTGAAATACCTATATTTGCAAAGGTGCACATAATGAGGTATCATGGAGATGGGACCCAAGCCCAACACAACATTCATATGTGTTTCATAATCTTGTCCATGCGACAAAGTTGGTATGCAATGAACCACCAGAAAGCAAAGATTTCATCATCTTAACTACCCATGGGACAGATTTTTGAGTATTTCAGATTCTGAGTATTTCAGATTTTTGGGTAAAGATAGTCAAGATGTATAGCTGCTACACAATCCATGGCAGGTTGATAGCCTATTGAACCTTGGTCTGAGTTTTATTCATTTCTGGACAATCTTCATCTTCTTACTAAGAACCTTTTAAAAATCTATTTAAGGGCATGCCAAATACAAGACTCATGTGCAATGAAATCACATGCATACATAGACAAAGGCTACACACTCATAGGCATTTAAAAAACAGACTCAAGATATGATCCTGTGCCATAACTAGTACACATTTTCCACTGTGGAAGACAATTAATAAGAGCCATCCTTATTAATGTAATAGCTGGATTCCAGTGCAGTATTTGTCCACACAGAGATAGAATGATTGTTCTGGAACCATACACATGACAAATATTCTAGTAAAACTAGAATCATCACAATGATTTCCCTGCTTAGTAAAGTAATGTTGATTGCTTCTTTCTTTTGCTGAATGACTTTTTCTGTCTATAGCTCTGAGATCTGACATAGTTGCTGTCTACTAGTGTGGTCTCTGAGCCAGGAAGCCCCCATGTTAAATGTCAGTGATAAACTTTCTGGCCTTAGGCAAACCACTATTTCAGCTTCCCTATTTCCAAAAGCACTCCCGAAGATGACATCTGCAGCATAAATTTCACTTTATTTAAATGGAAGGCATGAACAAATTCCAATCCACCAAGAGTTTAGAGGTATTACTCTAAAAATGAATGTTTATATTCATTTGTTTTGGTTTCCCACATTCTTGAACAATAAAAGGCATCTTTGATTATTAAAAGTTTAAAACTGAAATAAATGGGTATTGATTATTATGCACCATTTACTCCTAGAATGTTACAAGTATTTCAACTTCCAAAGCTGCATTTCTTAAAAGTCCAGCAGCTCAGAACGTTTAAAGTGGTAGTATCGGAGCCACAGTGGCGCAATGGGTTAAACCTTTGTGCCGGCTGAACTGAGGACCTAGGGTCGGTGGTTCAAATCTGCGAGATGGGGTGAGCTCCGTCTGTCAGATCCAGCTTCCATGTGGGGACATGAGAGAAGTCTCCCACAGGATGCTAACATATCCGGTGTCCCCTGGGCAACGTCTCTGCAGACAGCCAATTCTCTCATGCCAGAAGCGACTTGCAGTTTCTCAAGTCACTACCGACATGATAAAAAAAAAGTCCTGGTTGAATGACATTTGAATGTCTATAGAGGGGAACAATAGCTATTCCCTTCCCATGTATTAAACACATCAAGTTTTCTTACCTTTTCTTACTATTCAATCAACTGCAATAAACTAATTTAGGCTTTACTTGGGGTTGGATCTGTATATATAGTTCAAACTAAGACATGATGGTCAGTTACACAAACAAGTTATAATGCACTACAATATTCGCCTAATCTCATTATTTCCACTTAAGAGTATCCCCAAGGAATTGATTGCTCCAAGATTCTGCTTTGTGTATAAGATAATCCAGCCACAAGAAGATGGGTTTCTGCAGAAATATTTTCGTTTAAATGCTGCCACCTAGTGGGTTACTTGGTTATGACATATAGGGCTGGTGGCAGGGTGTATGTGATTACTGCACATATATGGTCTTTAAAAACATCAGTTACTTTGGCCACCCTCTAACATGTATGTCTTGTAAGTTCATGCACTCTACAGTAATACAATTTAACTCTGTCAGTGAGTTTCTCACCCATGCCCCAAAATGTATGACAAAGTACAACTTGGAGAAAGCAGCAATTCTTTACACACACACACACACTGCAAACCCTTTCAGTGGATGTTAATACTGAATCATTTACTTAAGATAGTTATATTCCATTCTGCATATTTTACTAGTCATTTGCAATGATGAAACTGGATAGCAGAACTGCTGAGAAATTTACATATTTCTTTTAGCTAATTCATAACAGGCACTCAAGGCCAGGAGACATTTCCTTTTTTAAAAAAAAACCAGTATTTACCCAGAAAAGCAAAGGAAGCAAGATGAAGTATCACTTTTGCCAAGCAGATGCTTACCTTAGTTATTTCTTCAGAAGCTCTTTCAAAGCCTTGCACATTTGGACAATATAAGCCTATTGTGCAACTAGGATCCATTTTTTTAAAAGACATTTTCTTCGGAGAAGGGCAGTGGAATGACTGCAATTGGCAGGAAACATATTTTAAAACAGTTTAACAGCAGTAACAGAAGACAAATGATACAGCTCCATTCATTTGTTCAACGAGAAAGCAGTGAACTTGTACACAGAATTGGCTGAGTTTAGCAACTCAATTAACAAGAAAGCATCTTTGTGTAGCAAAACCGCTGCTACTAAAGACAGTTAACAGCTTTAAAATGCTAAATTACACATTCTTTCTCCAAGCAGAATTAACAACTGGTATAACGATTCTGTGACCTTAGGATCTAGCCAATCCTAAACTGTCTGTTATTCTCAAGTAAACAATGTCAACTGCACCCAATATGACATAACAGTGAAGTTATGAAGACTGATAGATTTTTTTTACCTCCATCATAACTCTACATCAAACCAATTTTCATCAAAGGCCAGATCAGTCTCATGGTTGCCTTCAAAGGGTTGATAAATCCATGGATGGAGAATCCATGGATAAAGAGGGTCAACCATTATACAGTGGTCAGAGCTCTTTAGTTTTTAAGTAACCTGGGTCCCCATATGTTATTGAATAACAAATCCCTTCACTTTTGATTATCTGCCATGTGTACTGGGGATAATGGAAATTTTAACCCAACAGCACTTGTGGCTCTGTGGCAGGGAAAGGTTAAAGGACATCTTAATGTCAGGCATTATATCCATAAGCCTTGTATCGCAATTCAAACCCCACTCTCCTGACTAAACAGAACAAACTGCAGCCTTCACAATACCCATCAGCTATAGTCATAATGTCTACTCATGAGGACTATAGGAGTTGTAGTCCAGCATCTGGAGGGACACATAAAATTACTTGGATAAGGCCCGCACACTTTGAGTTTGAACAATGTGTTCTACATCATATATTTTCTGAAGGAAGCAACACTTATAAAACAAACTTATAAAGTCTAGTATGTCACATTCCTGGTTAACATTGAAGCAAACCTGTATAAGTAAACAAAACTACTACCTCAAGATAATATAGTTTACATGCAAAAGGTTCCAGGATCCAATAATAGCTGGAAAAGATCACTCTCTGATCAATGTTAAAAGTACTGATAGAAGCAGCTTCTTCCAAATTTATTTATTTATGAAAATTAGGACAGAACACTATGAATAAGTATTGTATATTCCATAATAATGACAACTTCTCTTTCCAATATCATCTTAGTAGGGTTTTACAAAGGCTTTGAACCACTGCCTAAGTGATTTCTCATTATACCAACTTTGCATTACATTAAATATTATAACACATCATTGCACTTTGTATCAGTAACGCTGGCTGTAGGGACAGCAATATTCTTGTTAAGTGAGATACAAGAATGTTGCAAAATTCAGTAAAAATATCCCATGGTTTTTTTAGATTGGTTTCTCCAATCTTTCTGATACTATTTGCTGAGAAACAAGGATATTCATTTAGAGAGCAATCCAGTGAATATTCAGTTGAGAACAAGAAATTTGTATTCTACCATGATGCTTTGAAAAGGAAACCAATCAGGGATACTTTCCATTGTGCCCATAGTTCTGCTGTTCAGAAGTGTATCCTATGCAACTTACTGAAATGGAGCCAATAAAAAAAATAATTGTCTTCTATAGAGAACAAAGAAATCATCTGGAATGAGGAACTGACATCTAATTTTTTTGTATGAAATAATGTATTACTATCAAGTAATTTCCAAAGAGACACAAAAGCGAATGATCCTCAGAACATCCAGAATTTTACAGTGCCTCAAAAACAAACTCCACAAAATAGAGGCTAAGAGCTTCCAGACAAATAGATTCTGGAAGCTTACAGCAGACTGGATTGATTTTACATTTAGTCTGGACAGTTTATCAATTTTGAGAACATATGCTACAGAAGGCCCCCAGAACTGCCACCCTGGAATGAGAAACCAATTTCTGTTTTGTGTTTGACATTTTGAGACAAGGATAAAGTATTTCATGTACTCAACATTAAAGTCCAATTCAAGACTGGCAATACAGACAAGTGCTTCGTATGATGAGATACCACCCAAGATTGGCACATGGTTATAATGCCTTGTATTATGAAGTAGGTTCATGTAGCCATTTTATCCTGGATTCACAGGAGAGGTAGGCACATTTATAAAATGTACTATTGATGAATTAAAGAACAGGTTACTTATCTTAGTAACTACTTGTTTCCATAAACTGTAAAATAAGACTTCTTTATACTCATCCCCACAACCCTGATTTACCTATTTAACTAACAGCCAAAGTTTCAGTATACTCCTACTTAGAAAGAAATCTCACTAAGGTTTGTGAAGCTTAAATAGATTCACAATTTTACTCTCACTTAACTATCTTTATATACTCCTGTAGATTACAATCAGATCCTTAATAATATTCCTAATAGCCAAGGAATCACAATATTGGTCTGTACGCGATATCATTTTGAAGTCCTTATATATCAGAGGTCCTCAAACCTTTTAAACAGAGGGCCAGTTCACAGTCCCTCAAACGGTTGCAGGGCCAGACTATAGCTTTAAAAAAACACGAACAAATTCCTATGCACACTGCACATAGTAGTGAGAAAAGCATGAAAGAAAAATACAATATTTAAAATGAAAAACAATTTTAACTAGCATAACTTACCAGAATTTCAACTGGAAATGTGGGCCTGCTTTTGGCTGATGAGTGAGGAGCTTATCACTGTAGGAAATAATCTGCTTCTGAGACTGATTGAGGATTATTTCCAATAGGCCCCATCACATGATGTTAACCTCATCCCATCAATAATCCATCAAAATCAGTCTGCAAATGTTGCAGAAATGAAGTATTTCCAGGCAATATTCTAATTGTAGTATTTGAAATACTATGGAGTTTTCTATCACTGAAGTGCTGTTTTTGCATGTGATTGGGAAAGCAGTATGCATCGTATCAGCAATGATACAACTTGTCATGAGGGGGGCGCATCTGGTGAGTGAAGTATTTTGACCCCGGACTGTTTATGATGGAAGTGGCTGCCATTTGTTTGGAATGTTGAAGGGGAAAGACTTCCGGAATTAAAGAAGTCAGGAATTGCCACTTTTCCTCATTATATATTTTTTTCAATTTTAACTGGAATCACACAATTTCCCTTGTAAGCCACTCCGAGTCCCCTAGAGGAGATGGTTGGCGGGGTATAAAAATAAAGTTGTTGTTGTTGTTGTTGTTATTCCTCTGTTGTATCTGTATTGAAATGACAAGCTTTTACTTTTAACTATTACATCTCCTCAGAAGGAGAAGCAGAGCTGTTAGAAGCTCCTATAGCCTCTGTATCACCGGGAGTTTGGCCTCATAAAACAGAAGTGACTAACTGCAACAGCCTAATCAGTAGATGGAATAAAAGAGCCTATCTAATTATAATCAATAATCTATGGTTTAGAAATCCAGTAAGATTAGATTCCTCAGAACTCTGCATTAAATTCCTCAACCCTCCGTAGTATTTTGTGCCAAAACGCAAAAAAGTACGTTTCCAAATTTTGCGAGAATGATAGATTGGGACTTGGAGGCTACATTACTGCACAGATGTATTTTTTTTTTTAAAAAAAAAAGGTCGCAGAGTGACCTAGGGAGTCTTTAGAATGGATTGGGAGGAGCCAGCCTTCCATGGTGTGAGGGGATGAAGCACAGCATTTTCTGAAGAATCATGGGTGTGATCGGGTCAGTATATGCCCCATCTGTATTCAGTATGTATTCAATCAGGAAAAACGATGGAATTCATACTGACAGAAACAGATTTTTCCTAATGTGATGAAGGCCATAATCAAGTTAATCAAGATTATTGTTGTTGTGTGCCTTCATTTCAGACTTGAAGCAACTCTAAGTCTAAAGTTTAAGGCAGGAGCCAGGTAAATGTCCTTGGAGGGCTGCATCCAGCCCACAGACCTTAGTCTGGGGACCCCTGTTATATATAGTTCCTTCTTCAAAATCTAAAATCTATTTGCAAGGATCCTCATATCCCAAATGAACTGCAGAAGTACTGCCCTCCCCAATATTTGCTCTGCAACCCCTGTGCAAGTTCTCACTCTAACCATAGAAAAGAAGTGGCTACTGCAGGAAGCATGACACCTGCAGTTTTCTTCTCTCATATCTAAGTATGTGACCACACATGAGGGAAAACCCAGGGATGACTCTACCATGAGACTAAAAGAAGTGACTCAATTATTGGTTGTTATTTTTTTTTATTGCCAGTTGTTTAATTTCATGTCATTTTTACTGGCTGAAAGGATGAGGGATATATTTTTGTATATTTTGATCAATGTGACAAAATAATTTGACAAATGCCTTGGGCAAGTCATTTGTACTAACAAATGCAGATGTACTAACAAATACATTTGTACTAACAAATACAGATGCTCTAATTGTAATGAAACATAGTCCTGAATCCTGAAAATTAATACAACATTTCTTATAATTTTCCAAAATAACCAAAAGTGATGGGAATTGTTGTCAATAACATCTGGTGATTCAAACTGGGATAAAACTAAAGAGCACCAACCACTATGTAAAAAATATGTTGGCTCTATGTATCCACAGCTTTTCCATCCATGAATTTAACGGCCCATTGAAGACAAAGCTGATGTGGCCCTACATGAAAATTAGTTTGATACCTCTGCTCTAGACCATTTTTTATTTTTTTATTTTTGTTTCAAGTCCCAGAAGGACAAAGCAGACTGGCTAATGGTCAGGAATTCTGAAAGTCAAAGTACAAAACATACAAAGATGAAGAATAAAAAACCACTGCTGCAAACCTTGAGGCTATATGCCTAACTTCATACACTTCAAGTAAAGTATTTAGATCCAAAAAATTAATCTAAGTGCGACACAATGTACAGAATTGGAGGGGAATGCCGTGGTCTGATACCATATTGTTTCAGGACAGAAGCTCTATCTGTAGTAGACAACCTGGGGTCAAGGGAAAAATCTAACCCATTGTATAAATCCTATAGTTTAATATATTCTGCTATTTATAAAATATCAAAATGCAATGCAACATATTTTGACTTCAAGCATTTTCCTCATACAAAATTGTAAAATGAGAAGAAATCATCTGAGTAATTAGTGTTTGGTTCATATATGAAGCAAACAATGTCAGTTCTTCATCCATCCTACCTCAAGGGGGAAATTCTTTACGCTGACATCTACAAAGGACTGGCAGTAATGAGGATCCATGTAAATCAAGCTGTCATCTACAAGGACAAAACAAAAGACAAGTAATTCAAAAAACACCTTATTATTACACTGCTTACAATCCAATTTCTATGCAGAACAGTGGAGGGGGAAAAACCCCAGCAAGTAAGTGCCTGCCAGACTGATATTCATTGATGGGAGCATGGGTTTTTGCAGGACAGATTAACTTTTGCATAATCAAATATGCTTGTAGAAGCAGAATTTTGATAAAGTGATGAGACTGTCATTTAATTTTTGGAGGTAAAATTACTTTTACAAACACACAATTATATTCCAGGAGTTTGCATATGAAAAATGCATTGCACTTCCTCATCATGACAGGAAGAACATATTTGCTTGTCATTTGGTCATCAACTCGCACCATTTAAACTACTAAAAGAGTAAATATATAACTAAGAACTGCCAGGTCGTAAGCAGCAAAAGGCTCACAGAGTTTGATGAAAGAGACAAATTATGCCTTGTTTGTGCAACAAAGAAAATTAAATGTACATTTTACAGAATTCAATTACCATATGGGGCGAGTGACAAATGACTGGACTTTGGTGGGTCTGATAAATTAATAAAGTACTCATTTTGCTATTTTAATCATTTCACTTCCCATGGGTCTTATATTAACTCCAGGGTGCGGAAGTGGGGGCTGGGAGGAGAAGTGGAATACCATACTGGAAATGACATATTTGATTAGAAACACTAACCTTGAAATCCAGCAAAGTAGTAGGACTGCTTTGGTCTGCCACCAATAATGCCAATACAGTATTCAAGACTCAAAATTCCCTGTCAACATAACAGAAAATAAATTCAGGTTTATGATTAGGCTGGGAAGGAAGCCTTAATTTTATAGGAACTGGTTTTTGCTTGGAAATTAATCCTCAGTATGCCAATCTTTCCCCATTTTCTTTTCCTAACAAGGACAAAAAGCCTATTCATCATACAGATGCTTGTATGCATCCATTTTTTTCGCAGAAGATAACTGCAAATCATGCAACTATGTGGCTTTGGATCACAGCCATGGGATATGAAGTGGTAGCCAGTATAGAACAAAGTACAAACTCTATTCTGTCTAGAATGACATTCAGAATACATTTAAACACTTTCAAGAGTGCCATATTCTAAGTTTTCTAAGTTGAAGGATCACAATTAGGAAGAACTTCTTGACTGTGAGAGCTGTTCAGAAGTGGAACTCTCAGCCCCGGAGTGTGGTAGAGGCTCCTTCTTTGGAAGCTTTTAAACAGAGGCTGGATGACCATCTGTCGGAGGTGCTTTGAATGCAATTTTCCTGCTTCTTGGCAGGGGGTTGGACTGGATGGCCCATGAGGTCTCTTCCAACTCTCTGATTCTATGATTAATGCATTTGCAATGTAAAGTCTAAGCAAAGAAAACTGCAATTAAGTGCAACCCCTGTAACCATGAGATTAGTATCTATAGTTTCACCGAACCACATCTGACAAAATATGTCCTCTCGAGAAGTCACTCTAGAGCAAGCATGGGCAAAATTTGGCCCTTCATGTGTTTTGGACTTCAATTCACATTTGCATGTTTTCAAACTACTAGGTTGGCAGAAGCTGGGGTTAACAGTGGAAGCCCACCCCGCTCCCTGAATTCGAACCGCCGACCTTTTGGTCAGCAAGTTCAGCAGCTCAGCGGTTTAACCTGCTGAGCCACCAGGAGGCCCTCATTAAAACATATTCAAAGTGAAAAACCACAGCACTCATTGACTTGATCTTAAAAACCTTCTTTAAAAGCCTGTCTGAATAAGGTTTTAGTTTTCTGCCAGAAGAACAGCAGGGAGGGGTCAATCTCTCACACTAACCCTTTTTGCTTTAAAAAAAAAGGAGGGGGCTTAGGGAGAAATGCAACAATTCCCAAACAATGATTAGCTACCAACAATCACAGGAGCCTAAAATGCTATCAAATATTGTCAAAACAATATGGATTTTCATTCTGATTGTGTTGACTCATGTTAATTTCAAGACATTATACAGCAGCAGAGGCAGCCAAGAGTACTGTGTTGCTGTTATGTGCCTTCAAGTCGACTCATGGCAAACTTGTCGTAGGGTTTTCTGTGCATGATTTGTTCATAGGGGGTTTGCTACTGCCTTCTTCTTAGCCCTAAAGAATGTGACTTGTCAAGAGCACCATTCAGCTTTCATGGCTAAGCAGGGATTCAAACCCTAGTTTCCCAGAATCTTAATCCAGCACTACAACCATTACACTACACTGGACTTCTGGCTACGAAGATTGCAGGAATACCAATTTGAGATAATCCTCCTTAACTGCTTTGAAATTTGTATTAAAATCACTGAGAAAGAAAAGGTGTAGAAGTTATTCACTATAAGTACTTTAATCATCATCATCTTAAGGTTGGGGAATACAACTTTAAGATCTTAAGTAACATTTTAAAATCAAGGTCACATGGGACTGTTCACAGAAGAAACACAAGTACAGGTAAAACCAGATCAGTCTTCATCCTGAATTACGGTGTCAGAAAGGCAGCCATTAGATATTGGAATAGTTATAAAGTGGCTTAACATTGCATATCTATGCTCTGCAATTATACCTGCACACTGAAATTTCAAATTTCTAAAGTCAAACTTTACAATCTGCTGCTATAAAAATCATAAATACATTTAATAGAATGAAGATTATCATCTTTAACTTTCAAACCATCCAGTGACACTTTCAGAAAAGTGACTGAACTTATTTCATACCTTCACAAACTCTAGGTATTCCACGTTGGTTCTTTCACCACCAAGCCTCACGGGAATTAATATAATCACAGATTTGGCACCTGCTTTTTCTGAATCCTTGAGAGAACACTGCATTTCAACAACATCTGACTTGTAAACTTAGAGACACAAGAAAAGTAAGCTGTGTTTATTCCATTCCATTTTGAAACACAAATTAAATACATTGTAGATATGTAGTAATGTTAAAAGGGATGGAAAAGAACAAAACAATTTTGCTCACTTGATGAATACACTCATTGCTGTCCTGTGTTATTAAAAACAAGCGATAGCATTAGTCATACCAGACATGGGATGAAACTACATTGTAGAATTAATGTAATTTTATACCACTTTGACTGCCACAGCTCAGTGCCTTGGAAACCTGGAAGTTGTAGTTTGGTGGGGCAGCACCACTTAAGGAAGAGACGAAAACTACAACTTCTATATCTCCATAGAATTGAGTCATGGCAGTTAAAAGTGGTGTCAAACTGCATTAATTCTACAATGTAGATGCACCCATTTTTCTTTTCGAATGATTGGGGTTGAGCTACAATGGAGACCAGGTGTGGCAGTGCAATCAGGTAAAGTAAATGGTGGGATTTTTTGAACAAGACAGCAGAAAGCCATGAGGCTGGGAAACATTTCATTGTAGGAATCCCTGGTACTGTATAAGAAGGTAGATTGCTATCTTCAGGTTTAACTGGCAAACCATTTTGATGTTTTTAGCCTCCCCCTGTTTCAAGAAATGATTTCCATAATGATATACCAAAGGCAAGTGTTGAGCCCTGGCAGACTATAGACATACCATGTAGTAGGACAGACACATCCCAGATATCATGGTGAAAAGGGTCTTATCTAAGTCTGAACTTAAGCTAAAAACATATATCACCATCTCTGTCAAAAGACTAGTGATGTATTCCCTCACACTCCTTCTTGTGCTCCAACAGAAGCAGAAATATAGAAATAATCTTGCTTGAAAACTGATTATTCCCAGATCCATGTAATCTGCTTTTATCCACTACAGTTGGCTCTCCGAATCAATAGGATTCTGCATCCAAAGATTCAACCATCCATGGCTTGAAAATATTGCCCTGCCCCCCCCCCCCCCCCCAAAAAAAAACCCTTCAAAAAGTAAATGTTGGCTTTGCCATTTTATATATAATGGACCAATTTCACTATGCTATTATATACAATGGGGCTTGATCATCCATAAATTTTTCTATCCATAGGAGATAATGGACCAAATCCCAGTAGACAGAAAGGGAACACAGTACTTCTGTCCCTCCATCCACACCTTCAAAAACTGCTCCAGATGGCACTGAGCAGATTTTGGGGTGGCCTAGAGGGCTGCATAGGAACAGCTGGGGAACTGGGGGGAAATACTACTGCAAATTTGTATGTAAGAGAAACAGAAATCCAACGATGCTTGCTTTCTTGTCTTTCTGATATATCTGAGTATTCAATGCAAAGCGACCACATTTGTTATCCAGGGCAGAAAGAAATTAAATTTTTCAATTGCTCCAATAGCACAGAAAAGGGGAAATGTCTTTTTTAAACTACACTTTTAATTACACTGGATTTTTTTCTGGCTGAGAAAGGGAATTAATACATCATTTAAAATGGTTTGTACATGATAAGGAAAATAATTAATTCAAGATATTTGGGTCGGTAACTTCAGGAGACTAGCTGATGGCAGATGTTATAGAGATGAAGGTAATGTTCTTTCGATTAAAAAGGAGAAAATGTCCCCATAAGTTTTCAATTGTGTTTTTTTTTATAAATGCTCCTCAAATATTTAAAAGTCTGTGGAACCATTTTTGCCTTAAGTCCAAATGTGGGTCCAAACTAGAGCAGACTCCCAGATGATAAATCAAAAGTTATATAAATATGATTGATTAAATGTTTCTACTGTAGTTGAGATGGAGTTAGGCTTTGGTATCCAGAAATAAAGCATACACCACATATTAATACATTAATGAGAGTCAGCAGTCTCCATTATCAAGAACCTTACATCAAATCAAATCTAGATGACATTTTCTGAGTAATTTATTTATTGCTTTCTATATTATTTACTATCGATTATTTTGTATAAATAAAGGTTTATAGCATGTATCTTTCTGGATGAAGAAAACCAAAGCTGAGGCTTGTACAATGTGGATTTCCCAATGCTGAAGATCAGTAAAGCCCTAGAATGGAGCAAGCCCTGTACATTTGTGTTCATTTTTAGTATTTTATATTTTTGGTTTTTTACAATGAAATGCTCTAAACCAGTGGATCCCTAGATATTTTGGCCTACAACTCCCAGAAATCTCGGCCAGTTTACCAGCTGTTAGGATTTCTGGGAGTTGAAGGCCAAAACATCTGGGGACCCACAGGCTGAGAATCACTACTCTAAACACTGGTTCAGACTGTTCGTTGCACACTTACCTGTACAATCCTGAGCTACATAGACAGTTATTCCTTGCAGCTCAGGGTCTCCTGCCTCTTCAACAGCTTTTCTATATAAAAATAAGAGACCTTTTCTGGTTAACAATGAACACAAGCTACATAGGGCATAATCCTCATACTGATCTGTTCCAAAGAAAGGCCATGATTTTACTATTATTCTTGTTAAGCACGGTCATAACATGACTGAAACAGCTGCAATTCAAATTGCAAGCATATTGCCTTTGAAAGAAAAATAAGATTGTATGTTTCTTTTCATATGTCTTTCGAACATTATTTTATATATATATCTTAACTAGATGATGTGAATTAGGAGGAACACAAGAACACAGCAATCTACAGTCTATCACCCTTACTTAAAATTAGTAAAAAAAAGAGGGCTTCACAGAAATCTGCAAAAACAGTTTTGAATTCAACTTACTAAATTAGCAATAAAGACATGCTGAAAAAATATTTGCACAAAATGCCATACCTCTATGAAACAAAGCCACAGAAATTAGAGGGGGGAAGCGCAAGCTTATTTTGATAGCAGACCTTGGATCACTAGTTTTAAGAATAAATACCTTGAAGTCATCTATACATGAGCAGAGATAGGATGGTGCTCTGAAAACCAGAGCAACACCCTATTCTGCAGGATGGATGATTTCAGTAGGGTCATTCTATTCATTCTTTTTCAAAGAAACTTGCCAAGTACCGAAGCAGCAACATAGTGGAAACTATATCATCAAGCATAGCCAATTCATACAAGTGGAAAAGATGGACACAAAACAGTAACTTGTATCGCGTAACACTGCTCTTAGCTTAAAGTCTGAATGCAAATTACTTACTCAGAAGTAAGGGTCATTATTTTCATTATAACTTATTCCTATTTAACTGAACACAGAATTGCAATCGACATGATGTTTGTATAATAATACAGTTAACAAGTTCATTGGGGTTAGGGGCACAGGACTCCTGTGAAAGTGAAAAATCATGAATAAAGACATTATTGGGGAGTGGGGAGAGAGAATTTCTAGCCTCTTAAATTGTTGAGGGGAAAAAGGAAGGGCCTTGAGGCTGTTAGGAATTGTGGGAGTTGGTCCAAAACACTTGGAGGGCCAAAGTTTGCCCATGCCTGCTATAGAATCACACTGGATGACCTACAGATTCCTAGCAAGGTGTTTTGTCCAGTATGACTGGAGAAAATTGACACAGTCACGCTGGAGGACCTAGAGATGCCTAGAGAGAACATTTTTCATCATATCACTCAATAATCAAAAGTCAAAACCACAAATGTTGAGGGATGACTGTAACCTCTAAACTAGTCTAGGAGAAATCTATAGTATATACAGTGCTGTAACTTCTTAACAAATGGAATCTGATCATGAATGTATTCAAATTCAACCTGAGCATGCAAATCTTAAAATGAAGGTTTTCTTGGAAATTATCAAGAAATTATTCTACAAGCAAAATTGTAGAAAATACGCTTTCTCTGCTAAAGTTCAATCATTTACTTCTACAGATGTGGCAGGATACACAAATAACCTTCACCTCTCCAACTATGCGCTGTATCCCTGTAGTCCTATTCAAGGTGAATATTCTTGTTATACAAGCACCACATGAATCCTGCATCTATAGAGAAGCAAAAAATCTACATCTGCACTTTGGCCTCTTGTGCTTATCAGGCTTAATGATTCAATTTATGACCATCGGGGGGCTCATCTAGAACATAAGTCTATAAAAATACAAAATCAACTGTGTCCAAAAAAATGGCACATAAATGTATCTTGCACTGAGAAATCTGACTTTCAGCTTTAAAAAAGTCTCGCCTGAATGTCACAGATCCTTTACTTTTAATATGATGTAATTATAATATTAATAGTCCCATACACTTACAATTTCGCAAAAACTTGATCTGTGCAAAGAAATGCTGAAAACATCAATTTTAAACTCTGACAGTTCATTACACTATCAGTACATTACAGCCCTCAGGTTACAGTATTAAAAAAAAGAGATAAGTCTATAATGTTATGCATGTTCCAAGGTTAAAAGAGTTGTTAGTTTTTAGAACATTTCATTAAAGATACTGTATATAAAATCTAGGTTTGGAATAGATCTTAGCATCTTTGTTCACCCGAAGAGTTGGTGGAAATATTTCAGAAATGAGCAGAACTCAAAAGGTTCAACAACTTTGCTGTTTCTGCAACATCTGAATCACCAATGACAACAAAACACTACTAAACATCAATTTTCATTCACTTCCTTACTATTTTAAAACCTGCACACAGTAATAACATTAACATTTCTCATCTATTTGACAGAAAAATGGAAGAAAACATGGTCAATTGTTTACCTCAAAAGATGTGCTACAATAGCTGGGCCATACCAATCTCCAGCCATTTTTCCAGACTGGTTTCCATATTCTATAAGTCGATGCAAGCCAAAATTTGCAAGTGGAGAATCGCCAAACCACGAAACTATTTTTCGATGGTAGTGTTCATCTCTGCTTCCTCTTTTCCCCCAGTCTCCTTTGGGAATTTGCCTAGGAGGGTTTGATTGGTTCTTAAATTCCTTCTCTCCTATAAGGGATGCTTCAACTGATGCTGTAAGCTTTTTTACTGTGTGACTCGTCCATGATTCAGATTCCGGGTTTTCATTGACTAATGCATCTGGCCAGGTCCAATCTGTGACAGTATTACAAACACAATTTATTTTTTCAAATCAAAGGCTTTCATCTTGCTGTAAAAGATTATCACTCAAAGTGGTGAAATTAAATGGTTTAACATTAACCACTAAGATAGGTCTAAGACATTTAAGAACTTCTTAGGTGGACAACTTAACATTGGGAAATATATCACAGTTACTAATTTCTTTGGAAGATGTTCAGCAATGTTGATTTTACAACACAGGCTATCGATTCCCAGAAAACAGAATTAAACAGGGTAAATGAATAATGAAAATTAACTGCTCTGTATTTTGAACCTTAAGAATGTTTCACACATTAATGATTACAGCACTATTTTCAAGAAGTTACATCGTATAAATGTGCCTTTTAAATTATTTAACAAAAATTAATTTTCATAGATTTTACCATCAGACTGTGAAACCCATTTTAACAAGATATTGCTTTGGCAGAATTTATTAATACATCTAGTAAAAAGATTAAAAGAACAAAACTTAAAAGATATATCATGGGAGAATAAATAAACTCATGCTTGCAGAAACTAAAAGAAAATAATATTTCACAATCCTGTTTTTACAGAATTGCATGGCTAAAATATGCTATAGTATTTAGAATTTTAACCTGGGCCTTAAGAGTCAGATTCAAATCCTTATTCAACCATACAGCTCACTGGGCGATCGTAGATCAGTCATCTCTTGAGGCTTTCATAAAGATAAAATCAGAAATGAGGGGGAAGAACATAACTACCTAGATAGTTTTAATGATGAATTTTAAACTTCCACTCTATTTCTAACTTTTGTTCTGTGTGTTTTAATATATATTTTATGGAAATATGTTTTAATATGCATATTCTACTAGTGTTTTAAATGATTACGTGTTTTGCTTATGTATTTTAGCAGTGTTGTAACACACCTCAAGCCATGAGGATTGGTAAGAAATTAATTATTATTATTATTATTATTGTTATTATTATTTTGAGCTCCCTTGAAAAACAAATGAAAATCAAATAAAAAGCATATGCTAACAATACATTCCCACAAACACTGACTGCCCAATTTCTGAAGTTACGCAATCCCCAAATTTAAATATACACAACAATAACAACAACAAAACTTTGTTTATATCCCGCCCCATCTCACTGTGGGGACTCAGAGCGGCTTACAGCATTCAAAAGGCAAATACTCAATGTCATACAGTACCAATAAATAAACAATACAATTAACTAGTGTAAACAGTCACTTATAAAAGCAATAATGTATAAAACTGATAAAAACATGCCAAGTAACATCAATAAGAGCAAAAGTTTAAAAAGCAATTTCCATAAACCATTCCACATTTCATAAGGCCAGATATTCAATTGTTTGTCTCTCCGCAAGCTAGGATACACAGGAAGGTTTTAAATTGTTTTCTAAATAGGGACAGTGATGGGGTTGTTCTAATATCCTTCGGGAGAGAGATCCAGAGATGAGGAGATATTGCAGATAAGGCCCTGGCTCTCATCCCAACCAACCGGGTTTGGGATGGAGATAGAATCAATAGGAGAGCCTCCCCTGTTGAGCATAGTGTCCTGGCAGGTTCATATGAGGAGTGGCGGTTGGTTAGATAGTCTGGACGCAAACTATTTAGGGCTTTAAAGGTAACAACCAACACTTTAAATTTTGCCCGGTAGCAAACTGGAAGCCAGTGGAGCTGCTGAAGCATTGGAGTTGTTCTCTCCCTGTACGGCGGTCCTGTTAATAACCTGGCAGCTGATTTCTGAACCAGCTGATATACTGTAATTTCCCAACAAATGCTTAGAACTTGCCTCTGCCAAGAAAGTGAAGAATAAGCCCTTGTGCTAGAAGCATCTGGCCAGTCCTTAGGGTGCATCCCCAGCCACAATCTGTTGTTAATACTGAGCCCTTGATTTGCGGAAATTCTTCTCTGTATGTCAGCCATATTCTAGAAATAAAGTCTTTACGGAACTCTTCAACATTTCTTGAAACCCCTTCCTCTGTTACATCATAGTTTGATCCATTTGGTGACAGGTCTGTTGGCTCTAGGACAGATAGATCACAGATTATAGACACTACATATACATTATCATATATCATCCATCTTAAATACTGTAAAATAAATGAAAAGAGCTGTAAAATAAATAATCATGTGCTATAAAATAATTGAAAAAAGTCAATGCCTTGTACTAGAACAATTAACAATATAGGTATTATTGAGAGGATTTATATAACCAATGGAAACGGGATATACCAGGAGCAGAGCTAAAGCAAGGGGCCTTTCATTTGGAATGTTAAAACCTACCCTTAGTTTGATTGGTAAGTTAAATTTAAGGGCATTATCAGACAAAATTGCCCTTCCACCAGAAGATAGACAAGACGATTGAGAGATTTTCTCCTCTGAGCATCAAATAGATAGATAGATAGATAGATAGATAGATAGATAGATAGATAGATAGATAGATAGATAGATAGAGAAAAAGTGCTGATAAAAGTGCAGGGGAAAATCAAAGGACACATAAAGGAAAAAAAACTGGAGATAAGTTTATGTATTTTTAGTAGTCAAATAAAATCATAGAATCATAAAATCATGGAATCATAGAGTTGAAAGAGACCTCATGGGCCATCCAGTCCAACCCCCTGCCAAGAAGCAGGAAAATTGCATTCAAAGCACCCCCAACAGATGACCATCCAGCATTTGTTTAAAAGCCTCCAAAAAAGGACCCTCCACCATACTCCAGGGCAGAGAGTTCCACTGCTGAACAGCTCTCACAGTCAGGAAGTTCTTCCTAATGTTCAGGTGGAATCTTCTTTCTTGTAGTTTGAAGCCTAGTCTCCGGGGAAGCAGAAAACAAGCTTGTTCCCTCCTCTCTATGACTTCCTTTCACATATTTATATATGGCTATCATGTCTCCTCTCAGCCTTCTCTTCTTCTGGCTAAACATGCCCAGCTCTTTCAGCCACTCCTCATATGGCTTGTTCTCCAGACCCTTTTTCATTTTACTTGCCCTCCTCTGGATACACTCCAGCTTGTCAACATCTCCAAAAGAGGAAATTTCAGCAGGTGTTATTTGTTACTTGGTTACATGACAAGTGACACCTGCAGAATGACTTCCTGTTTTCATTATGACAACTTTCCACAGAGGAACTGGCACTGGAAGTAACATTTCTGCTCAACCTTTGTTCAGAAGCCACTGAATGTCTCTCATTCCCAGTCTAGTTCTTCCTCTCCACTCAGCAAAGTCCTTAGCAAACTGGAGAAGAGATGCTCTACAATACACTCTTATTTCTGGCTTGCTCTAATGCAGAAGGGGACTTTATTTTAACTTATTGGATGATGATGATGATTATTATTATTATTATTACAAAAACAAAACATTTCATTTCTTACCTGCCTGTCATTCATTTTATTTATGAATGAGCTTTGTCTTTTCCTGGTACTCACTTCACACAAATTGATAATTCACAATCAACTAATCACACAAACACACCATTTCATATATGTTTAGAAAAGGACTGCATATTTGTATATAGAACTCATAGCACATACCATCAGTCTTAAAATGATAGCATTTTCCAAGCAAAAAAACAGGGGAGTTTCTGCTAAAGTACGTTTTTGTTTTTAATACCCAGCCTACAAAGAAACAGAAAAAGAAAAAGAAATTTGAACAGGTTAGTTTAAACATAGTGTAAAGGGAATCATAGAATCACAGAACAATAGTATTGGAAGAGACCACATGGGCCATAGGATATTTTCATTTTAATTCTGAACAGGTTTTTCTGACTATACTGATATTTACCAAATTGAGATATCTTTCAACTTTTAAAGAATCATAATAAAATACTTAAATAAACTTTATCCATATCTTCTCCAAGAAGGAGTAACAGAAGTAACAAAAAATTAGTGTTGTTACAATACCTAAAAATGTGTTTAGTGAAATCAGTTCCAATAGATTACCATTTATACTCATATTCATGAGTATAAATGTTTCTGAATTTTTTTCTTATACTGATTGTATACAATATGACATACTCTTTTGTCTAAGATATTGTAAAAAAAATGTAAAAAGAGGGAAGAATGTATACTTAAACATTTTGTTTGATAAACTTATAAATAAAAACTATAAAAAACTTATAAAACATTATTTTTAATCTTTAATTTTAAGAAACCTAAACTGATGAGTAACTGTTTAGGATAGGGTGAAACTGTTGACTGTATGTTGTCAGGCTGCAACTCTCATTATTCCTTACCATTACTTAGGTCTGATTTATGAGAGTTAATTCCTACGACATCTGAAGTGCCGCAAGCTTCCCATCCCAACATAAACTATGATTTGCGTTGTTTCCTTAAATCTTTGCTAGGAATAACTACTTTGTACAGGTTGAAAGATAACACCATGCTGCTGTTAGTTGCTATTTTTTACATAGTAAAATCTTTTGACCAACTAATGTGAAAGATTCCACTGTAGTGGAAGAGAAAAGAGAACCAACAAACCTAAGGCTTGTCTGTACAACGGCAAATTAAACCAATGGATCTGGAACAGGCTTGAACATTCTCATTCCCTTCCCCATGCAAATTTCCACTTCCTTCTCTACTAGGCATTAACAACGGTTGCTATTAACTATGGCTACCAAACCACCTCCAATTGTTTTATGACCACATTCAGATTCTTCGTTTTTAAAATCCTAGGCTGCATTACTTCATTGCCACCGACTGCATTCTACTTACTGTATTTCACATTGTGCCATGCTGACATAAACTTTGATTTTATTTTTTCTACTTCATCTGTCCCTGTGGCCTCCATATTCAAATTCGAGAGGAAAAGCCATCACTGTCCCAAAAGATGCTAATTTCTGCTACTGCAAAAGAGAAAGGAATAAGCACATCCATGAACACTCTGGGCATCACTAAGCACGCTTGTGTTATTGGGTAGTTAAAGCTATTGTGACCAGGAAGGGCAATAAAATTACAGAACCCACCTCTTTCAGAGAGAAAGGCAATTGTAACTTCTATGAATAAGTAATAAAAACATTTGATTCCAAATATACAACAGTAAAATTACCCTGCAAAGCTAAATAAAACATAATGTCCTCCAACTGCTCTCTATTCCGCAGTAAACTATCTTGCGTGCATAAACTACATTGGTGTACATTTGAGAACACCTAAACACTAATTGGAAGGCAGAGGAAAATATTTGAATTGCTGTAAAAGGGACACAGTTTTATATTATGTCTATTCTGTTTAGAAAGAGGATGCTAAGCTCATAAATATTAATATCCTATTTAAGACAGTCAACTCCTATCTGAATCCAAAACACATTAAGCAGCAGAATCTGGGATGCAAACAAAAAAAGGGAGTGTGTTTCTGAAAAATACAAGGCATGTGCAAAAGCATGTCTTGTCCTGTTACACTTACGGCCTACTTTATTCTAGCCGAACAGCAATTTCAATGTAGTCTAATGGATACATTTTGTAAAGATAAAGTTTAAAGAATATTACACCATCTCATAGAAACACAGAGTTGGAAGAGACCACATGAACCATTCAGTCCAACCCCCTGCCATGCAGGAAAAGCAATCAAAGTGCCTCCGATATAGGCCCGTCCAGCCTGTTTAAAAGCTGCCATAGACGGAGCTTCCACCACTCTACGTGGCAGAGAGTTCCACTCTGGAACAACTCTAGACAACTTATAGAGAACATGTTTTCCTAATGTTCAGGTGGAATCTCCTTTCCTGTAATTTGAACCTATTGCTCTGGGGTCCCAGTCTCCAGGGAATTAGAAAACAAGTTTGCTCCCTCTTCCTTATGTCATTCTTTCAGATATTTAAACATGGCAATCATACCTCCTTCCAGCCTTATCTTCTGAGAGCTAAACACCCAGCTCTTTAAGACACTCTTCATAAGGCATGCCTTCTAGACCTCTGATTATTTGAGTCACCCTCCTCTTGACACATTCCAGCTTATCAGTCTTGAATTGTGGTGCTCAGAACTGGATGCAATATTCCAGGTGAGGTCTGACCAAAGTAGAATTGGGGGGGGGGGGGGCACTATTACTTCTCTTGTTGCAGTCCAAAACCCCATTGGCTGCTGCATCACACTATCGGCTCAGATTCAACTTGTTGTTCACTAAGACTCCAAGACCTTTTTCACATCTACTGTTATATCCGTGCATTTCATTTATTCTGCCCAAGTAGACCATCCTACATTTCTGCTTGTTGAAATTCATTTTGTTAGTTTTGGTCCAGCTAACTAATTGAAGGCCATTTTGAATTCTGATCCTGTCTTCTGGAGTATCACCTATTCCTTTTAATTACCTTTTAACTTAATTAAGTTTTAAAGTATGTTAGTTCACTATTACGGGAATCTTAGGATATTGATTAGTGTCTATTTGTGTACTTTTTGTTTTTGTCTTTAATGTTGATATGATCAGTGGAATAATCAATAAACTTTGCTTGCTTGCCTATTCCTCCCAATTTGGCATCATCTACAAACTTGATAAGTACACCCTCTAAACCTTCATCCAAGTAATCAATAAAGATGTTGAATAGTATTGGGCATAAAACAGAACTATGGTACAAATAATGTTACTATCCACTTTTCATTCAACTTTTGAATGGCGCAGTAGGTTAAACTACTGAGCTGCTGAACTTGCTAACTGAAAGGTCACAGTTCGAATCTGGGGAGCAGTGTGAGCTCCCACTGTTAGCCCTAGCTTCTGCCAACCTAGCAGTTCGAAAACATGCAAATGTGAGTAAATCAATAGGTACTTCTCCAGCAGGAAGGTAAGCGCTCCATGCAGTCACGTCGGCCACATGACCTTGGAGGTGTCTATGGACAACACCGGCTCTTCGGCTTAGAAATGGAGATGAGCACCAACCCCCCAGGGTCAGACACGACTGGACAATGTAAGGGGAAAACGCTTACCTTTACTACCTTGCAAATATTTGCACTGAAGAATAACAATCAAACACTGCAACACTGATAAAGCAGGAATTTGGTCAGAGAGTCAGTATTTTCTTTTGTCGAAGCAGATGAACTGACATCTGATACCAAACTATGGTGAATGGAATCAGAAAGTTGTATCACTACCCTTTTTAACCACCACACGGTGCATTTACACAGCTGCAGAAAGAAGGGGAAGTGGAAAACAACCTATTTACTCACCTATAAGAGCTTTGTTCAGGAAAATTGCAGTTAATCAGCCTTTGTAGATTGGCTTTCTATTATTGTTCTTTTAAGATTTGGCAAGAACACTCATTTAAAGCAAGGATAGAGATGTGTAGCTTTTCAGATGCTCCTGACAGCAATTTTCATCATTCCTCAACTGTGGCTAAGTTGAGTAGGTCTTGTCGGTTCAACACTTAAAAGCAACTTATACTCCCCTCTTGTGATCTATAATTATTATTTTGTTGTTATCCTGCTACCAAACTATGGTTTCTGACCTAAGACAAACCTATCATGGCATTTCCATGGTGAGATTTGTTTGGAGGAGATGCTTATAGCTTCCTCTGAGGCTGAGAAAATCAACAACCTCAGACATTTTCACTAGCCATTTTTATGATGAAAAGAAACCAAATGAATCTCTGTTATCTAGTTTCTGTTCCCTGTAGAATGCCACCAATCAAAACCACTTCTTCATTCTATGAATTGCAAGGAACTTTCATACTCAAAATGCATACAATCAATGAAATATAAGAAAAACTACAGAACATGTTCCTCCATTATCATCAATCAGCAAGGTACTCCATATATTGATTAGTTCAGTTCAAGCTAAAGCTTCTAATTGATCAGACCAAACCACACCATGGTTTGGACAAATCTACAGTAACCAAAACAAACATTTGATTCCACAAATCCATTAAGTGCAGGAAAGAGTTTTTTTGTCTGCTAGTTGCTAAGGTACTTAAGTGCCTTGATTGCCACAAGAGTCAAATCAATAATTTTTTGACAGTCTTTGAATTTCTAAATTTAAAGATGAGAAGATGAATACAATCAAGTGAAGGCTGAAGTTAGTGGGAAATACAATATCTAGTTTCAGTCAAAGCCAACCAAAATCTATTGTGGAATACTTTAACATATTAGGAACCAAATAAATACAAAGTCAATGTATTAGGAAATTTATTCAGAAATTATTGGAAATCCAACCACAGAATTAAGTGTGAGACTAGCAAAGCAAAACAGAACCTTTTCCTGACTTTAACTATAATGCAAGTGGTAGCACAATACTGCATACGCATGTGGCCTGCATTTGCACAACGGGAGCAATCCTGTGAGTTGTAGTTTTATAAGGTCTTTAGGCTTCTCTGCCAGAGTACTGGTACCTCACCAAACTACAATTCCCAGGATTCCATAGTATTAAGCAATGGCAGTTAAATTGGTGCCAAACTGCCTTCATTCAACAGTATAGATGCATTGCATTGTCAATGTCGCAAGAGGTGTCTAACGTAATTGCTTTACAACTGAGCAGGAAGCAATACATTCCAATTTCTTCATATGGCAATAACTGTGCCATCATATTCTACTTAGATGCTGTGCATTAGGTGACAATAATGCAATCTACAGGCAGACCATTTGGGATAGGGGGTGTTGAGTATACCTCTTAGCTTCCTTGTCCTCCATTCTTTTTTCCATCCTGCTGTTCTTTCACTCTTCCTCATTGGTATTGCATGCCATTCATTCTCTTTTCCCAGCTTTTTCCAGAAAACTGGATACACACACTGACTATCTGAACTATTCAAAGAATCTGGAAATACTACCTAGGGAAAAACATGAGAAATTGCCTAAAGCCATGCAGAGGAATGAATATCCCAGGCTGGCTCCACCTTTGTCTCTAGAGACAGTTAACGATGTCACCCATTAGCTAAAAATGATACTGTAAGTACTAATTATAATTCACTGAAACTTAGCCATTTATTAAGAAATAAATGTTAAAACAACATAATTCTGGGGCATACTTTTAGTGTTCTGGCTAAGGTAGGGTTTAATGGTGTTGGAGTTACAGTGGAGACTTGCATATCTTCAGTTTACTATTCTAGATTACCTAGCAGTTCTGCAAACACTTGGAAGTCATACGTGTATCACAAGAATTTCAAAGGAAGGCTTAAAGGAATACAAAATGTTGCATTGATAGAAATAACGAAATCAAGAGGGGGTCATGCAATTTTATGGTAGCTCTGGCCAAGTTTGATTTGTTTGCAGAACGAAAATTCTGCTGATGTCATTTAGTTTGCTCCAAAACATTAGGAAAGATCAGGCCATGACACTAAGGCAAGTCACACCCATTAGACACATAAGAAAAAATGAACAGACTGCCAGTGTTGAGGCATTCTAAAACAGGGCTGGCACAAATCCACGTGGTTTCCTTTAGCAATCTACTGATGTTTAAAGAACACTCAATATTAAGTATCATTAATCCACCAAACCCAATTCATTTTCCATGACTGTAGATTTAAACATCTTGTCCCAATATTAATTTTGGCATGCAGACGGGGAAAAAAAACAAAAAACAAGCAGCCCTCTTGACGTTTCAATGTGAAAGAAAACGGTATATTCATTCAGACATGTATCCATTGCTACCAATCTAAACTTGTTTGTATTCCAAAGGCATCCAGAAGAAAAATTAGGAGATTTTGACAGTCCAAGTGATCCATAATACCACACATTTAATTTGTTTAAAGTCTCCGGCTATTTAGGAACCAATTTAGTGATAGGGTGGAAAAGGCAAACATTATTTTATCAATTTGTTTTGTAACCGCCTAGCTCGCTTCAATTTATAATGTGTTTTTTATGGTTTGGGAGGGGCAGGGGGTTGCAAATGAATGAATATTTTAAGAAGGAATTTCCTGGTTGATTTTAAGGATTTCTTTCCTTTGCCTAAAGTGAAATTACTATGAATTGTTGTTTTATTGAACTCTATGTTGTTTGAGGTTGTGCGGGGACTACAGACCATGTGAGCAGATCTGAGACTATTCAGACTGAGACTCCATTTAAGAAGTCAATATTCAGTTAGTATTGTATTGAATAGTCGGTGTTCGTTATGTATTAGACATACGACAGAGAAGAGACTCCAACATAATGCCTTAGAGAACTTACTGTTTAAACTTTCAACTGATAAGCAATGTACCTGTATGCTGAATACATGAAGTTTGTAAGTAAACCAACTATATTATTTTTAAGGAAGACTACTTATTTCGTCTCTTGAGAGAATGATTTAAAACCAAATATATATTTATGGGAGAGTAGATGTTTTTGGGCAAGTGAGAAAGTATCAATTTGCTAATCGTGCCCAAGGGGGCATTGTGGGGGTATTATGTAGAATATAGAGTCTCCACACAGGGTAACAGGACAAAGTCTGCACACCTGATCATGATAAGAAATAATAAGGGATATGACTTTGTGCACTTTTTCTCGAAGCCAGGTCTATCCATTTTGTCACTGATGGGGCACCATATCTACCAGAAATGGTACGATCTGAGCTTTTCTGAAAATATGCAGCCAGATACAAAGCGTACAGTAATAAAACAAAAAAAGCAGTTCAAAACTAAAACAAAATGTAGATCAAGAATAAAAGAGACAGGGACAACCACATCAAATTTGAGTATTCCAGATTTCTTTTAACCCCAAAAACTTGTACCCCCTTTCTCTGCTACTGTAAAGGCCGCTTCCTGAAGATTTTACTGCTACTTTCTACTAAGGGTCCACTAAGTTTCACATTTGCACAAATGGGAACCCCTGTGCCCAAAAAAGTAACTCATGAGGTGGTATCAATTTAACAATGATGCCAAAGCAATAAAATAATTACTACTTTCTTACGATAGCCAGATTACCTTTTGTGCATGTCTTTCCTGCTCTTGCTGTTAGTATGTCTTCATTTCTTTACATGTCCCTTAATATGAATCCCACTCCTAACAACATTTTGTTAAGGGTTTATGTTGCCTCTTGTGAATATAAAAGTGCCCTGCATTACCACTGCCAAGTTTTCAAATGCTTTAAATATGCAGCCAAAGATGCTATGATCAAAGTCATTATTGGGGATGGACAACAGAAGAATAAAAGAATTCAGAGGACTTTTTTGAAACAACAGGTAAATATCTGACTCTATGTTCTTCATACTGCATATTTCTTTCGTTGATCACAGCTGTCTAAATATTATAGAATATGACAGCAACCAACGTGATATGGTGCACAATATGTACACAAATTACTGTACAACCACAAACCACTCTACAGGTTTTATTTCCTCGTGCGTCAAATTGTCTATCAACATATAGACACCACAAGAAGTTAATAGGGGGTTTTTTTGGGGGGAGGGGGGGTTCAAAACATAGTTTTGCAAGTTCCTTCTCTAATATGTAACCTAAGTATTTATTGGTGGTCCCCTATCCAAGTAGTTAGTCCTCTGTATCCACAAATTCTACATCCACGGATTCAACTATCTATGACTTGAAAATATTTGTTTCAAAGTTCCAAAAAACAAATTTTGATTTTGTCATTTTATATAAGGACACAACTTTACTATCCCCCCATAAATAATGGGACTTGAAAATCCGCACATTTTGGTATCCCTGTGGAAAGCAAGGGCCCATTAGTATCTGGTGTCTTACTTCCCCCTCAAAATGACACCCCTGTTGCATTCACATTACAATCAATTGTAGTGTGCCTCCAAGTCATTTCCAGCTTAATGGTGACTCTATCACAGAGTGTTCTTGGCAAGATTTGTTTACAGGGGATTTCATGTTTTCTAGCTTCTTCCATGCCAGGAATCTCATCTTGGGAGGAAAATCCCACTGCTGTTAGTGTGGTTATTTCTTCCCCAATAAAATATGTTTAGCATTAAGATGTTCTTTCAGTAGGTCAAACATTGTTTGGCAATAGAGAAAACCTATAGAGAAAACCTATAGGAAGCACAAATGGGGTCACCACTACTATTTTTGTTATTGTTCTCGATTTATGGTGACCCTACCACAGGGTCCACAGGGTTTTCTTGGCAAGATTTGTGCAGAAGAAGTTTGCTTTTGCCTTTTCTTTGAAGATGAGGCCTCATCTACACTGCCAAATAATCCAGTTTCTGAATCCATATTATGTTTTGAACTGAATTATATGGCAGGACAGCCTCATATAATCCAGTTCAAAGCAGATAATCTGGATTCAGAAACTGGATATGACAGTGTAGATCCAGGCTTAATCCCTTATCCTTCATTCAGGCTGGATCTACACTGCCATAGAAGGAGGAGGAGACTCCTCAATGAGAAACAACTGGAAAAGCTTACATGATATAAGGATTTAAAGATAGAACTTCAAAGACTCTAGCACAAGCCAGTAATGGTTGTCCCAGTGGCAATTGGCACACTGAGAGCAGTGCCTAAGACCTTGGCCTGCACTTAAAAACCATGGATGGTGACAAAATTACCATATGTCAGCTGGAAAATGGCCACCCTACTTGATCTGTATGCATTATTCACCGATGCATCACACAGTCCTAGACTCTTGGGAAGTGTCCGACATGTGATTAAACACAAAAGCCAGCATAGTGATCTTGTTTGCTGTGGACTCATCTTGTTGTGTATCAAATAATAATAATAATAATAATAATAATAATAATAATAATAATATATTTATATTTGTTCTTCTCCCTGTGGGGAATCAAGAGTGGATTACAGTATAAACAGATACTGACAAACATTCAATGCCTTGTTACAATATAATGAGACACACAAACACAAACAAAGTGTTTGTGTTTCTGGCTTTCATTTCCGGCTGTGGAGGTGGTGCTCATCTCTGGCTCTGAGGGAGTTGCTGTTCTCCATTTCCAAGAAGAGGAATCTGCATTGTCACCTCCTGGTTGTGTGACCAGCATGACTGCCTGGCGCATCATATTTCTTTCCTGCCAAAGCGGTACCTATTGATCTACTCACTGCTAGGTTGGCAGGAGCTAGGGCTAACAACGGGAGCACACCCTGTCCTGCGGATTCGGACTACCAACCTTCAGGTCAGCAGTTCCCATTGTGCCACCAAACTGCAATATATAGTCAGTGTCTACTGTCTATCCATATAATACAGTCTGAGCTTCATTCAATGAGTCTACAGCAGTGTTTCTCAACCTGGGGGTCGGGACCCCTGGGAGGGTCACGAGGGGTGTCAGAGGGGTCGCCAAAGACCATCAGAAAACACAGATTTTCTGTTGGCCATGGGGCTTCTGTGTGGGAAGCTTGACCCAGTTCTATCGTTGGCGGGGTTCAGAATGCTCTTTGGCTGTAGTTGAACTATAAAACCCAGCAATTACAATTCCCAAATGTCAAGCTCTATTTTCCACAAAGTCCCCCAGTGTTCACATTTGGGCATATTGAGTATTCATTCCAAGTTTAGTCCAGATCCATCATTGTTTGAGTCCACAGTGCTCTCTGGATGTAGGTGAACTACAACTCCCAAACTCAAGGTCAATGCTCCACCAAACTGCAATATATAGTCAGTGTCTACTGTCTATCCATATAATACAGTCTGAACTTCATTCTATGAGACTACAGTATGACCATACAATGCAGTTCCAAACTGCATTACATCGCAGTGTAGATCAAAACATAGGTAACAGGAATACTGAATGTAAAAGCTGTTCATTCCCCCAAGTCTCTACCCCTCCTCCCCCCAAGAAGAGCAGCTGTTGTTCCAGTTTGAAAAGAAATCATGACTTGACCAGACTTTTTCTTCTGCTAGAAAACACCCTTTCTACCCCTTCCCCACCTCTAGGGATTTCTAGAGCCCTTCATGCAGCTTCTGAGGCCCTCCCACCCAGGAATTCCCACAAAGAAAGGTACTTCCACTCCTTCCTCAGAGATTCTGTCTTACTAAAATATTTGCTATCCCGAGTTCATACTCACCGAGGGCGCCGAGGCCACTGAACAGGCTCCTTACACTCCACTTCAGGATTTCCCATTCGCCACCGCGGGTATTTTGGCCCACGGCGGCTGCCATAAACTGTTCCCAAGCCTCCAGTCAGAGTCTCCGTTTCCGAAACAACCAACTCATATATATATATCACCAGAGACTACCTATCCCAGAATTCATTGCGACTGGGCGTAATCGGCTGCCTCAGTGATAAGGAAGAAATGCATTCTGGGAGATGTAGGCTGCAAAAGTGGAGGGAATTTCAGTGGAAGGAGTGGAGAGAGTAAAAAGCAATGGCTTGTTGCCATCACAAGGTGCATCTAGGCTGTAGAATGAATGCAGTTTGTCACCACTTCACTATGGAATTATGTGAATTGTAGTTTGACAATTGCTTTAGGCTTTTTGCCTCACCAAATCCCATTATTCTAGAGCATTGAGCCATGGCAGATAAAGTGGTGTCAAACTGCATTCGTTCTACAGTGTAAATAAGGCATGGGCCAATTTGGGCCCTCCAGGTGTTTTGGACTGCAACTCCCACAATCCCTAACAGCCTCAGGCCCTTTCCTTTTCCCTTTCAGCCTGAGGCTGTTAGGGATTGTGGGAGTTGCAGTCCAAAACACCTGGAGGGCCCAAGTTAAACCGCTGGGGGAAAAGGAAAGGGTCTGAGGCTGTTAGGGATTGTGGGAGTTGTAGTGCAAAACACCTGGAGGGGCAAATTTAAGTGACTGAGAGGGAAAAGGAAAGGGCGTGAGACTGTTAGCGATTGTGGGAGTTGCAGTCCAAAACACCTGGAGGGGCTAAGTTGGCCCATGCTTGTCGTAAAGCCAATATCCTCACGCAAATATACAGAGTACCGAGGCATATTAAGGGTTTTCTATCGCCCTTTTGTTGTCTGGCCAGTTTGGAGGTAGTTTCAAACTGCTTTAAACTTTCAGTGTAGGTGCCCCCCCCCTCCCCCGGTGGAGTTGGGAAGGTTTTAAAAGTTTAGGGTGCAGTGATCTCACACACCATTCGGCACATGGAAGATCAGTTCTCACAGTAAAGATTACAGTTTGATAAAGGAGAAGAAAAACAAAGGCCGATGGTACAGTCATACTATCTTCAGTTGCAATTCAGGATGAGTCTATTCTGTCCTTGAGAAGTTACATTTTGTCTGTTTGAAGGCGGGTGAGAACTGGTTTTGGCTATTGAAACGTTAAAACAGACATCAGCACATTCCTTTTCTCTTGTGCTTTATCTAAAAGAAAGGGGATCAAAATGTGAACTGTAGGACAAGACTGAACACTGGTTCTAAATGGGCTTTTCATTGCTATGATCCATAGGAGACAGTTTTAAGCTATAATCTTTGCTAAAACTAAATTACGGTAGTTGGGTATTGCAACCACTATTAGAGAACTCTATTCTGCAAAGCATCTTTTACCTCTGACGATTATTTGGAACAAATGCCAAAAATGCAATGGTGAGCGGCTTATGGTCGCCTGACTGTTGGAGGAAGCAACCTTTACAAGTCTCCTCTATTATATGTTTGTCCATTTTATAATGTGATTGTTTTGATTTATCTCTAAATACCTAAAGCAATGGTGGGGCTGCAGGTCATGTGACTGACTCGGTGAGAGTTTAAAATGTTCAGGTTTAAACAGGATGACAGGAATATTTTTTTCAGGAATGACTGTTAGAGAAATCTGTTGAGCCTTGAATGAGCTTGAGTATAGAAGTCTGTCAGAGTGCAGAAGCTCATGCTAGGAAGTTAGAATTTGTTGAGGCTTGTGTTTTATTTAAAAGCAAACTCTTATTAAAGAGAGCTATGTAAAGCAACATAGTTTATGAAGAAACTATGATTATAAGTGCATGATACAAACTCTCTGAAACATTACTGAAGTCTTTAACCCTTGACAAGGAATGTGCCTGTATCAGTATATAGTTATCAGTAAACAAAACTTGTTATCTTTAAAATAAGTCAACTTGTATCATTGTCTGCTGAAAGCATCAAAGAGAAACAAAATATCTACATGCCCAGCAATCATCCATTACGAAATAAACTCTGCTATGCTGATGGTCGGTGATCCTAACAGGTCATGATCCATTATCCCCAATACTGACTGTCAGCGCAAGTCTTGAATTTGCCTATCAAATTATGACAATCCAATGAATTTCATAGGGTCCCTTATACAGCTTCAATCACACTGCACACTTGCAGTACTTTGATAGAACTTTATATGCCATGGCTCAAATCTGTCCCTATCAATTTATGACAATATGTATTTCATAGGGTTTTCTAAGGTGAAAAATACTCAAAGGTGGTTTTGCCAGTTCATCCGAAATTTGGCTTACAGTACCTGATATTCATTAGCAATCTCCCATCCAAGTACAGAATTTAACAAAATTAAAGACCTGTCTCTTCCAGCAGGCCTACCCAGTCAATTTTAAACTATGGATTTAAATTTACATTTCATTGTTATGAATGATTTTAATGTGATTTAATTAAGGTTAAAGAGTGTATAGCTTTTAATATATGTGTTTTTACCTATGTGTTTTAACTGTGTTGTACTCCACTTCGGGCCTTGAGGAGGGGCAGATAACAAAAAACATTTATTCTTGTCCTCCTCCTCCTCCTTCTTCCCATTGCTAACCAGGGCTCATCCTGCTTAGCTTCCAGGATCAAACAGGATCTGATACATTTATGTTAGCAAGCCATGATACCTCCCCCTCCCCAAAAAAGATGTACAGTTCATTAAGAGACTACAAGCAAATATGTGTTTTTCCCTTCTTTTTATTAAAAACTTTTTCCAGAGGTCCAGAGTTGAAAAATTCTGAAGCTTTAGGCAGTGATTCTCAACCTGAGGTCCCCAGATGTTTTTGGCCTTCAACTCCCAGAAATCCTAACAACTGGGATTTGTAGGTCAAAAACATCTGGGGATCCCAGGTTGAGAACCGCTGCTTTAGAGGTACAGGAGTGGACCGAACAGCTGTTATACCCTACAAACTCTAAACCATATAATGTATCAATTTGATGATTTCTGTAAAGTTTGCATCTTTTCTAAATGGTGTACTGTGGCAATTCCTTATATGAAATATACAAACTGTTTCTAAGGGCCCATCCACACAGTCCCTATATCCCAGGACAGGCATGTAACCCGGGGGGGGGGGGGGGGGGGGGGGGGGGGGGGGGGCTTGAGGGGCTTCAGCCCCCCGAAATTCTCATGGTGGTTCACGAAAAGGCCTTACTGGTGCATTATTTAAACTGTTATGTTTCATATCATGATCTGATCACCATACCCAATATATCCCATATGCATGGGGGTATTGGGGTACGATACAAAAGGTTTGCTAGGGTAGACCCTCTTTCACTCAGACTCAGCCCCCCCCCCGAAACAAACTCAGCCCCCCCCCCCCCCGAATCGAAATCCTGGCTACGGGCCTGGATCCCAGGTTTTCTGCTTTAAATTAGATTTTATGAGTCTCTGCTGCCAGATAATATGGGATATAGGGCCTGTCTGGAAGGCCTTAATATAAGTATCAAAATGTAACTAGGAGACAGCCACCTCTTCATGCCCCCTGTTTGCATAATCTCTTGGGAAAGGGGACTTTGGCCAAGATCTCTCCAGCTATTTCCCAAGCCAGATAACTTTCAGAACCATTGTGTGTATTTATAGATAGATGATACTCTTTACCAACAAAATAAGTTCAGGCTCTTCGTCCATTTAACCTGAGGCTGAGATTCTGCCACTCCCGTGGAAGAGAGGGTTTAGTAGATGTGCATTCATTAACCTTCTATGCCGGCAGTCAAGTCTTTGATTGTTTAAATCCAACACCTTTGTCTTTTGGACTCTGTACCTTTGTCTCATACGGAATCTGACACCTGAGTTAATCAGACGACCTCTTCACATGGCCCTTTTTTATCTCATGAAACCCTTCATTTATATTTTTAAAGATCTATGATTTGTAAGCTAGTAACATACATTTCCAGGATTTTTTTGTCATTTCTCATTTGTACAGCACACCTATACACTGCAGCCAATACATTAATGTGTCACGAAACGCAATTTAGAAAGCTGTGGTTTAGAGTATTAACTTGAGTTTCTCCCCAAACGGACTGTGGATCCATGCCTGGGGCACTTTACCCAATTAACACACAGTTGGAGGATAAAAATAATGAATCCTTTATTCACAGACTGTGCAAAAGGAGGTACTTCACAATCCCTTGCATAGCAAGCACACCCACCTACTCTTTTACAAGGCTTTTAAAACTTTTCTAATTAACAGCATGATACTATCTGATGGGGATTTTTGGACACCTGCCTTGGTAGATTGTTTATAGTTTGTTCACTGCCTGCAAGAAAAAGTAAGATGGCATGCAATAGCTTTTCACTTACTACTAAAACATTCAACAGCTAAACAAAAACTAAATGACCTTGGTCTGGAATCTATTTTTTTTCTTAGCATAGCCATCGTCAGGTCTGTATTTATTTGACTACCTGAAGCCACTACATTGTATGTAAGTGCAAAAAACAACAAGGTTTCATTTTAAAAAGGCAACTTTTCTTTAGCTGAAGTAGTCTTGAAAACAGATCCAACTTCACTCCAAGTCTGGCTTTGGAAATGTGTATGTCCCTGCCTTAAAGTTGCCTGTTTATTTATGGCATTCTCAAGCAATTCCTAGTGTTTTCTTAGGCAATCAATACTTAGAGAAGGCTTTACCAGATCCTTCTGAAATTTAGTCTACAGCCCTGGGATTCACTCATGCTCTTCCATCCAAGTTATAACCAGGCTAATCCTGCTTACCTTCAATAAATATTACTAATTGCCAGTAGATGGCTCTCTTAATATTAATTCCTATGTGGATATATTTGGATTTTATACCTCTATACTGTAACTCTAAAGATAGACACTTTTGAGCCTTGGTACTGGAGGAAAATTCTGAGAGTGCCTTGGACCTCGAGAAGATCAAATTAGTCCTTATTCCAGGAAATAATGCTGGACTGCTCACTGGGGGGAAGGATATTAGAGACAAAGATGAAGTACTTTGGCCCCATGATGAGAAGATAGGAAAGCTTGAAGAAGATAATGATGCTGGGGAAAACGGAAGGAAAAAGGAAGACAGAGGACAAGATGGATGGATGTTATCCTTGAAATGACTTGCTTGACCTTGAAGGACCTCG